AAGAATCTCGTCTTTCCTTATCTAGTAAACTCCTTAACTAGGGGTGGATTCGAGCCAAGCTGAGCTAAGCCGAATATCTGGCTATTTGAGCTCGACTGACTAATAAACAATCAAGTTCGAGCTCGGCTTGAGTTAAAAGCTCGGAAATTTGAGCTCAGCTTGACTGCCTCTTATTGCAAGTCTCCCTCATCCGCCGAAGTACACCCTATGTATCTATCTATACTACTTTGAAAAGCATGAATAGCCTCAGTAATATTTTTGGAATTTTTGAGGACAAAATTTATCCTTCCATGTTTAAATTTATTGATAAAAAATGAGGGCAAAAGGGTAATCGACTATTAATATTAAATGAGTTGAAAAGAGATAATTATAAGATACTCAATGCATTCAATTTCCTCTCATTAAATCCAACACGTAAGGTATTAATTTGCATTCACCTTCATTGAATCATATATTTGAGGAATTTTTATTTATTCTCATCATTAAACTCTATTAATTAAATCCATACATAGTAAATTAATAATTCCAATAACATAAAAACATACTTTTAAAATCTAACTGAAAAAAAATAGTGTTTTCATCTAGGCAGTGCTAAGAAATTAAACCATTTTGGGCTAAATGGGCCAATTCATGTTGTCACAATTAAATAATTAAATTGAAAAATAGATAAAATGCAAAAAATATAGAAATTAAAAAAATTGGGAGCATTTTTAACATTATATATTCGACATATTAAACAATAATAAGTATGATAAATAAGAAATTTTTATTAATGATGGAAATGGAATGTAAAATTTAAAACTAATTAGAAATAAAACTATTTTCCTATTCTCTCTCATTAAATCTCATATTAAGGTATATTCTCTTATTAAATCCATAAAATTAATTTTAGTATTATAAAAAATAAATATTTTAAAAAAACTATTTTCTTGCCTCCCAATTATGGGTAAGCAATTCAACCATTTTGGGTCAAATGGGTTAATAAATAATATCATAATTAAATAATAATAAATTAAAATATATAATACAAAAATAAAAAGGATTGGACATATATATAATATTGCATATCCATTATACTAAACAAAAATGCATATGAAATGTAAGAAGTAATTTTATTAATGATGAAAATGGAATGCCAAAGTTAAAATCAACTTATAAAGAAAATGATGTCATAGTCAAATAATAAAAATTTTAAAAATAGAAATATAAATAATAACAAAATAAAAATAGAAAAAAATTAGGAACATATCTAATGCTATATATTCATAAAAATAAATATTGGGTACATCTCTAATAATATACACTCATTATCAATGATGGAATGTAATATAAAATTTACTGTCAACCTAGAAATCAAATTATTTTCCTTTTTGGGTTGTGGATTAGTGGTTTGTGTCAAATGCATTAATCGATGATATGATAGTTAAATAATAAACCTTAAAAAAAATAAAAAAAGTATAAGTAATCAAAAGAATATATGAAAAATTATATATTAATTATGTCAAACAAAAATTAAGCATGGTAAGTAAAAATTATTTATATAATGTAGATGATACATAATTTAAAACAAATCCGAAAGTAAAGCTATTTTCTTATATAAATGGTGGATCAATGATCCGATTTTTCAAATAAACTCATGATGTCATAATTAAATAATAGATATTTAAAAAAATAGATAGAACACAAACAATGAAAAAGTAAAAAATTATCACATTTGGGAACATTTATAATGTTATATATTCATCATAACAAATTAAAATAATTGTTAAAATAAAATTTATTTTTATTTATGCAAAAATGGAATACAAATAATAATAATAATAATAATAATAATAATAATAATAATAATAATAATAATAATAATATTGTAATTTAAAATTTCCACATGCAATGCACGTGCACATTTACTATAAGCATTTGAGTTTATTTTTAATCATATTGTTACGTTTGTTAATTTTCAATTTTTATCTTAATTATGATATATCTAAAATTCAAGTAATTAATATGAAAAAAAAATTATCACGTAAGCATGTGCTTAATTATTAGTACTACTTTAAAAAGTACAAATAACGTCGAAAATATTTTTGGACAAAACTTACCCTTTTATATTTAAATTTATTGATAAAGAATGAGGGAAAATAGGGTAGTTGGTTATTGATATTAATTGAGTTGAAAAGAACTAATTTTAAGATATTCAATGCATTCAATTCTCTCTCATTAAATCAACATTTAAGGTATTAATTTGCATTCACCTTCATTGAATCATATATTTAAGGCTTTTTGTTTTTTCTCATCATTAAATTCTATAATTAAACCCATACATAATATTCAATAACATAAAAACTTATACTTTTAATATCTACGTAGAAAAAAATAGTTTTTTCATCTAGGTGGTGGTAAGAAATTAAACCATTTAGGTCAAACAACCAATCCATGTTACCACAATTAAATAATAAAATTCAAAAATATATAAAATGCAAAAATATAGAAATTAAAAAATGGGAATGTTTTTAACATCATATATTTGACATATTAAACAATAATCAGTATGATAAACAATGTTTTACAAATTGACTTAGAAGCCGACCAGCTTTTGCCTTCGGGTCATAGGTTACTGGTTTTACTATCAAAGTCAAACAAGTTAAACTACTCTACGTCAATACTATATGTGTATATGTAAAAATACATATTTTATCAATAAATAGTATAATTATGTTTTACATATATTATATGTAATATATGTATTATGTTACATTTATTTATGTTTTTAATTTTTTTATATATAAAATATTAAAATTTCAGTTTGGGGCCAAAAAAGGTGTTTTCGGGAAAATAGCAAGGCAAGGCACCTAAGGCTCTTGGGGCGTATAGATCTTGAAAAGTTACTCAAAAAAAAAAAAAGATAACCCCACTTGGACATCGAAGTGCAAGATTATGTTTTCCAAAAGTTTGCACATGATTAAATGTGCAACCTATAACCTAGTTATTGGATCGAATGGAGCAATGGTTGAACCACCCGAATTAAATGGTTTTTAACTAAAAGGGGGAGTTTCAACAAAACCAAAAAGGCCGAGTGACAGTTTGAATGGTTCAATCGGCAAGGTCAGCAACAGGTTGAAAACATTGATGATAAATAAGAAATGTTTTTTTTTTTTTTATTAATGATAGAAATGGAATGTAAAATTTAAAACCAATTGGAAGTAAAACTATTTTTCTATTATCTTTCATTAAATCTCATATCTAAAGTATATTCTCTTATTAAATCCTATATTTAAGATATATTTTTCTCATTATTAAATTCTACTAATTAAATCCACAACATTAATTTTAATAATATAAAAATTAATATTTTAAAAAAATATTAATATTTAGCTCCACTCTAGGGGTAGAATGAATGATGACCGTAGATTAATGTCTGATGGTGCGCGATCTGGTTACTCCTAGCTAGCAGGGGCTATGCTCCTAGCTGGTGCTGGATGAGGTATCTATAAGGAAGAAAGTAAAGGATTCCTGGGGAGCTCGCCCGGCGGGAACACTCCGATGCTTAAGTTAGAACTCGGCGAAAAACTGAGAGAGTTGCGAAGAAATAAATGCTAAGAGTGAAGATGCGCAATTTTTGATTACCCTTTTCCTTGGGAGTTGGAGTCCTTATATACTAATGCTTTGTCAAATCGGGTGTAACCGCCTCTGATTCTCTGCCGCAGCCGTTATTTGCCAGGGCTGAGCAGGTGGGCACAGGTAACTGTCACAGGGTACAGCCCTGTCAGTCGAAAGACGTTTTTGGAGCTGACAGGCACGACGCCGCTTGTTGAGAGACGTGGACGCAGTCCTCTGGATTGGCAGGTGCTGTGCCGTCAGACAAGGGACGTGGGAGTAGTCTGACGGGCACGGTCTTGTCAGATAAGAAGCTTCCCGAAACCCTCGGATCGCTCAATAGCGAACTACTTTGTAGCGAATTGCCTGGTTGCGAACTGCCTCATAGTGAGCTGCCTGGTAGCGAGTTGCCTCGTAGTGAACTACCTTGTAGCGAGCTGTTAAGCTGGGTTTTAGCGAGCTCGTTACGTCGAGTTGTAGCCAGACTATCATGTTGAGCTGTCACTTACGTTAAGTCATGTCCATGTGTCGCTTAGTCAACTAGCTAATAACTAAGAAGTGGCTGCAATTTTAGATTTCTGAGGGAAAGTATAGTCTACTTATCTCTAAAAAAATTCTTAACTATCCCTATGTCACAGTCTCACAGATGTCGTACTCTTGGATTTGGAATTCGGATTTGACCCAGGGATATCGATGGTTTGGGTTTGATACAGGTGGGCCTAACCTAAGCCTGATCCAACTTGATCTAATCCACCCCACCAACTGTTACAAGTTGGGTTGAGCATCTGAATGGATCCAACTTGTTGGGCTTGGGACAATATTAACCTAAGCCTGATCCGACTTGATAGGCTTGAGATAAGAGACACTACACGTGACATGTCAATTTTGGTGCGGACATCATAACCCAAGCCGAACCCGAACCTGGGACTGATCGACATTTCTGAATCCGAACCTGATTGGTTTCTTATCAAACCAAAACAAATGGCAAAACAAAGGGGATAGTTATTATAATAAAAAATCAATTAAGGTTTCTTTCGCAAATAATACAAATCGGAAGGGTGATTATTTAAATCACACACGAACATCGTCCATTCACGGTTCCGCTCACGTGGAGTGTGACATCTTCTAGTTCTACGCTTCCGAATCTCGTCCAAATCCAACTGGTTAGCTCTTTCCTCACTTATCTTATAAATCTCAGGGATATGATCTAGTAGTTACTACCTACTAATATCTACATCTAGTGCTGTAGATCGCCACAACATATTCGGATATCTTCTTCACACAATTTCGAATAGGATAATGGAAACTGGAAAGAACAACAAAATGGTTATAAAACGTTTCAAGGGTTCTAAACTGACGGTCGGGATCCAACTAGTACAGACCTCTCTATAGGCGACGTTCTGTTTAATCAGAGATTAAAACGACAAGAGAAAAACAAAAGGAAGAGAACACTGGAGTTGAGTTTGCTGCTGATGTGTTGGATGATAGTAACCAGCAGAGTCCATTAGGCAGGTAGGCAGGCTCTCGATTTTTCCTCCACAGCGGAATTGTCGAAGTTTCTCTGTTCTTATTATTGCTTCCTCTTTATAGAGTAGGAGAACCGAGACGTAGCGAAGAGAGAAAATTGCAGCAAATATCGGATTGTTGTTTTCTTGTTCGGATCTCGTTACAGGTTTGCTACTATTTTCTGTTTTTGGTGAATTCTGTTTTGTTCAACCGATGAATTTTCTGGTTTAGAGCTTTGAGTTTTTATGTTAATTTCTTTTTTTTTCCTTGCATTACGGTATAGATTTGAAGATCGATGTGATCTTCTGTGTTAACTGTTAAGAGCATTGTCTGTAATTCCAGTCTGACTGGTTTCTGTTTCTTCGTGTTCGTTTCCTGTTCCTATTTCTGCAATCCGGGCTATTCTGTTGGAACTCCTAGCTTTGAAGTTTAAATGCTCATATTGGATGTGTTTATAGTTGTTTCTTAAAGTCGTTGTGTTCAAATTGCATTTTTAATTTTAAGGTAATTTGATTTTTTTTGGTTATTAATGCTGAATTCTCTTGAAGTTGATGTTCAGTAAGATTGCTACAAAATTTCTCGAATTTGTGTTTTGTTTAAGGCAGAGTTGATAAGTTGTTTTATTCCGGCTTTGTTCAGTAGTGTTTTCTGGAATTTGAGTTTTTCTATTGCTAATTAGATTCTCTAGCAGGTAAAAATGCAGGCTTCAGCTTATGCATTTAAGGGGAGTCTAGGGTCCGAGTTTCAACAGCGTAGGGTCTTGTCTACTTTTGGTGGTTTTGGTGAAAGACGTTCATCTAGGAGGATTCTCCGCTTTCCAGATAGAGGATTTTACTGTGGATCACCCCTTGCTTCTGTCTCCGTGGGAGCAGAACTTAGTCGTGCAAGAACGAAAGTACAAACAATTTCAAGGTCATCAGCGAAGGCTAGATCAGTCAAGGCTCAAGCATCTGGTTCGTTAATCATCAGTTTAGTCTAATTTAGTGAATTGGTAAAAGTTGCTTGTTTGGATGCATTATTCCATTCGCTTTTTATTATTTGCATGCTTTGCTGCGCGCATTTTGATGATCTTGAAGGATAGGCCGACTAGTCTTAATTACTTCTGGAACAGCAGGTGTTTTCTCACCAAATATGTCTCACCAATTCATTTGCTTCCTTCATCTAACTATAACAACTTCTTTTAGGTTGAAGTCTGCAATCAATTTGTTGTTTTGACTGCTCATGTTTACATCTTTGTCAATTCCGTATCTGGAGTTTCTCTAGTTGCAGCTTTTTTGAAGGCCTGCGTTGTCTGAGGTCCAAGATATGACATGAAAGGGTATAATTGTTTCATGTGTACCAAATTTGGTTCTGTGCATGAGCATGTGCCTTTGCTGTGTGTGTTCATGCATGCATGTACAAATGATTATCTTATCTAGGGTGACTTGCAGTCCTTGAGTGTTCTTGTCTGGATGTTGCTATCACTAATTGTATGATATCATTGCATCATTTCTTATATTGTTCATTGTTCTAGCTATCTATTTTGGCTGATATTGGCTTGTCTTGATCTACTAGTTGGTCGTCTTTAATTTCTTGTAAAACCTTGATCATCTCTTTTGTCTCAGATAATTTGTAATAACACTTATTCTTCAGTCCTGTATTTTTATTTTGGTGTGATCATCCCTGTTCTTTAAGGGGAATTTGACACTTTTATTGATGGTCTGTCATAGCCACCCTATTAGAGGAGCTGGTCTCTTATTTATTGCCAAATCCTGCAGACAAGAATTTTGTCAAGCTATTTGACCCTCTATTGCTTTAGAGTTGGCCTGATGTTGCATCTCATACATGGATGCAAATTTTCAAGAAATTGCCCTGGAAAACTCAAAAAATATGCAGAGAGTGAAATAGAATTTTGCTGAATTACTTTTGGCAAAATTTGTTAGTGAAATTGGATGAACCAAGGAGCCACTTCCATAGCAGCATATCCATTCCTTTTCCTTCATTTTGATACCTCTGTGAATTTTTGTAAAGGGTTTGCGTTTTTAAGTTTCCTTGTCAAAGTTTCCTATAGTTATAACGAGTTTAACCATGGGGCTTAATATTATGGCTTTAAAGAAGCTTAGACATATAAGCATGGGAATTGTATTTTTGGTCCACTGACTAATTTCTTGCAAGTAGTACTATGTGAAAGTATGGGTGTTCTTTTGCAGATGGAGGCCTTGAGGATGTTGTCCCCACCAAGCCCCTGGGAAAATATTCTGGATCAGTTTTACCCTATGTTGGTTTTGCTTGCTTAGGTGCTATTTTGTTTGGATATCATCTAGGGTAAGTGGTAGTTTAACTATGGAAAAGAGCATACTCTCTTTTGTTTTGCTTCTGCACCCACAAATTCAGGAAATTTCCTTCCACATTGCATTTCCAGCTAAGTTCATATCAAGGTCTTTATTGGTTTACTCTGCTTTCTCATTATTTAATAAGCATGATTATGAGGCTAACCCCAGTATTTTGTTTCCTCCTTTCTGTGGCAGTGTTGTGAATGGGGCACTTGAATACCTATCTAAGGACCTCGGTATTGCTGAGAACACCGTCTTACAAGGTATGCTTTTTGACATGCTTGTTTAAATTTCTGCTACAAAGTTCCTAAATCAGTATGCCAATAACCATTCTCTTTGTTTTTTTTTCTATTTATGAAAATTAAAGCCTCTCCTATTCTGTGTAACTTAGACTGGGCACATCTTGGTGTCAGACAAGAATATAATGAGTTAGACAGAAAGAAACCAACTAACATGTCAAAATCTCTGTACATATTACTCTACATATTAGAAAATATGTTTCCAAATAATCTTTATTAGGTAATACTGGAAGGACATATTTAATTAGGTAGCTGCCAACCTGACATGAATGAAATAATATAGGCAACATGTATCTAAGTACTCCTGGAAAATCAAATAAATGTTTTGAGGTAAACTTTCTTACTGTTGATATGATTTCAATGCTTGACTATGGAATGGACACTTTTCTGCAACATTGATTTTTCCCTCTACATATCTATGTGAAATTTCAAGGTTTTGTCAGATGACAATTAAAGACTCCATTTTGATTCCTTCTTTGTGGTCATTCTTTTTGCTTTTCATTAAATTTCAGAACATCAAGAATGTGATCTTTTAAATTCATTAGATGGCACTTACAAGTTTATACAATATGGCATTTCTTCTAGGATGGGTTGTCAGTACGCTCTTGGCTGGTGCTACTGTTGGTTCATTCACTGGAGGATCATTGGCCGACAAATTTGGTAGAACAAGAACTTTTCAGCTAGATGCTATCCCACTTGCAGTTGGAGCATTTCTCTGGTTTGTTCTTTTATGTTGACTATAAGCTGTGATATTTGGATTCATGAGTGTCAAACTAATGTTTCTGCACCTTTTTGAAATATAAACTCAGTGCAACAGCCCAGAGTGTACAGACAATGATTATTGGTCGCTTACTTGCTGGCATTGGAATTGGTATCTCATCTGCTTTAGTGCCACTTTACATATCGGAGGTAGTAAATGTTACATGTTTAGGTAGTCATTAGAATTGCTTTTGCTGTTTAATACTTAACTGTAGCTATAATATTTTTCTTTCAATTATGGCCAGATTTCACCAACCGAAATTCGTGGTGCTCTTGGATCTGTCAACCAGCTTTTCATTTGTGTTGGAATTCTTGCAGCATTGCTGGCTGGATTGCCCTTAGCAGGGAATCCCATATGGTATGATCTCTCATATTGTTGTATTTTGACACTCCTAGTCTCCTAAACAACTGATAGAATTAGTACTTGATCCAAATTCACATCAACTACAGAAACTTAAAAAATGCATAATAAAAAATAAATAAAGATTTCACATTTCTATACTGCTTATAAGGCACAATTTTGATATATCTACTACTTAGGTGCCAAAAATCAACAGAATTTAATGACAATGTTGGTCCAGCCAAAAAGTTGTGTTTTTGGTACAATGCGAGCTCCTTCAGAAGGATATCCCTGACAATTGGTCATATGACTCATATTTGATTGAAGGCTCTAACAGTTGAAGCTGAATGGATTAAGGTTGATAGGAAACTGAAAATATGTGAGATCTCATCATAAGAAGAGGCGTTCTGGAGATCTGTCTACTCAAATAACCAATTTCTGAAACTTATAGGGCAAATTCATTATCATCATGATCATTTGTTGAGGTTCATTTTTGAAACATTAATTAATAGCTAAGTGCTACAAATAATGAGATCAATGTAACTTTGAATGGTTGATATTCCACAATTGTGAAAGGATTTCTTGATCATAAAATCCAAAATGACAAGTTGGTGAATGAAGAATTCACAAAATGGAAAGAAATTCCATGGCATTCCCCAACAAACTGCATATTTATTGGGTTTGTCCTTGTTGCATCTATAATGTGCCTTGAAAAGAAATACAACACAATTATTTTGATGAGTCAGTTAACTGAGGTTTCAAGCTAAGGGCCAAGAATAGCAATGTTTCTAATTGAAGAATGCTTGATAGAGGGCACCGGCTGGTTTGACAAATTTGCAGTGTATTTACATGGAAACCTAGTTTTAACCTAACTCACCACTATTTTTTCCTGATTGGTACTTACCAATTCACTATTAAGGTGCTTGTCTATCTGAAGAAGGACAAAATTTATCCACACTTGTAACAAGTTGGAACAGGGAGTATTCCTGCTACGGATTTCTTTCCATTGTTAAGTTTGATGCTTTTCTTTACCATATAGAACAGTGGGTACATAAATGACCAGCATACCCTTTACAACTATCACATATTAACATTATGAAATTGCTGAAGATATTGAGCATACTAAAAATGGTTAAATGAAAGGAATGGGTTCTGAAGCTGACTTGCTTTTTTGTAGATAGCAACTAAGTCAAAATTTTAAATGGGTGAAAATAAATTCTGTGTGGTCATTAATAATCATATTTTACCAATGAGGTTGAATTTATTAAAACACTCTGTTTTGTATAATATGTGTGAAGACCTATTATTTTTCTTTACCATGGTAGTTTAAAGAATATTGCTAATTACCATGACCATGAAAAAATTCCATCTCTACCATCTTTTTTCTGTCTCCTCTTATTCTATTGTTCTTTGATTAGGTGGAGGACAATGTTTGGGATGGCAATTGTTCCTTCTGTTCTAATGGCTCTGGGGATGGCTTTTTCTCCAGAAAGTCCCCGGTGGCTTTTTCAGGTTTGGTTCACATATTCAGCTATGAAAGTTTAGGATTTTCATGAATAGATTGTTACCAGTATTTCTTAAGAATTTGAACCTAACATTATCATTCAACAGCAAGGGAAAACTTCTCAAGCTGAGATGTCCATAAGGACACTCTTTGGAAAAGAAAATGTTGCTGAGGTTATGCATGACCTAAGAGAAAGTGGTCGTGGCTCCACAGAACCAGAGGCTGGGTGGTTTGACCTCTTTAGCAGTCGCTATTGGAAGGGTAAATTTCTGTCTTTTGTTTTTCAATCGGGTAATATTCATAATGAAGGAATATAACAAGATTTTATGCTGTCTGATTCAATAATGATAGTCCTTAGCTGTTTCATTCAGCAGGAACAAGCATGTCTTTCTGTGGGTCTACCAGCGTGTATATATATATATATATAATTTCTTAATTAAATAGTATATTAAAGAATACTATGGAGTATGGTTTTTTCATACTTTCATAGTCTTTGATATAGTCATGCCTATTGAACTATATTATAATTTTAATGCTGGTAAATGTTTAATAACTTAATTTAGTATACAATATCTAAGGACTTTGTATTGATCTTGGATTTTTATTGGAATATGTAATTAATACTGTCAAAAGTAAAAGCAAAGAAAAGTACTTATATGGTTTCTTCACCACATGGACTTGTTATCATTCATTTTCCCTTTACAATTTGGTTGATGACAATTCCTATTTCCATTATATTTTTGAAAGTATGTTTTATAGAGTTAACATGTCCAATATAGGGTTGTTCATAAGTGTGAAAATAAGAATTACTTTCTAATTGTCTGGAGCCCTTATGCTTCTAGCCTTTTAATTATAATAAAACATAAAGAACTACTTTTCCATACAATTTTTCTATGCTGACTGAATCTTTTTTGATTATCTCATCATGATTTTTTCCCTATTTGTCATTAATGTTTTGTTCTGGAACATTTAAAGAAAATGAAGTTATTTCTACCAATTGTGTCCTATTGCAGTTGTCAGCGTGGGTTTAGCACTTTTCTTCTTCCAACAATTAGCAGGAATAAATGCTGTTGTATACTATTCCACTTCTGTGTTCCGCAGCGTTGGAATTGCATCTGATGTTGCAGCTAGTGCTCTAGTTGGGGCAGCAAATGTTTTTGGTTAGTGTTTTCTTTTACACTGGTTTCCCCCTTGAGTTCTATGTGGAAACTTGGCATTTGATTCCATGTTTATTGAAGCAGATACTGTATGTGATTTTTTATATTACCGGAATTATTTGCAGGCACAGCTATTGCATCTTCCTTGATGGACAGACAAGGAAGGAAAGGTCTTTTGATGGCTAGCTTTTCTGGAATGGTGGGACAAATCTTCCTTGCATTCATTGATTCTAAACATAGTTGAATAAATACTGCATTGCTTGTTGTATGTTGGGAACCATGATCTATAATTTTGACTTCTGGAAAATCACGCATTAAGATGCTTTCCTCCATACTAGAACCTCTTCCATTGGTCTTCTACCCACCTTCTTTTGGTTTCTCTATTCCATTCAACCTGCCTTGATTGGATGGGGTGGACTTGTGTGAACAAAGCTTGCCAGTAGTTGATTATTCCAGTTGGACTGCAGGAAGTATAACAATAAGTTAATCTTAGTGATGCTAAACCTCTCTAGTCTCTGCATTATATTATACATTCCAAAGTGATCAACGGTGATCAAAATTATAAATAATTAGATGATGGTGGTTAATCTGCCCATTCAGGCAGGGAAGCACTTGAGCTCTGATCAAAGTATGTAAACCAACACAAACTACACAAGCTCAAATTTGGTAGCTGAGGTGACATTGGGTAATGCTCCATGGGTAATGCTCCATTCTGTTGTTCTTTATTCATAAAAAAAAAAGGTTGCCTTTTTGTTCCACAAAAACAACAGAAACATTCCAAAGGGAATGCTACTACTATATAATGGTTTACTTTCCATCTTGATTGATGGGATCTTCTCCCTTTTCTTTTGGCCTTCAGAAAAAAAAAAGAAATTGAAAGAACTATTGATGCTGGGTTCTTAATATTGCATTCAAATACTAACCACTGTTTTTGAGGGTGGAACTTGTACATGCTACACAGGCTTTCTTTTATTATGTTGCTTTCATACTAATGCTTGAATTATCAGGCTCAGCTAGGGAAGCACACAACATGACAAGTGAAAACTTTGGCCTATAAAAATATTTCTATTAACTTGAGACAGCAAATGACCAACATGCTCCTATTTGTTTTACTACATTCCCCTGGATTCTTCCTCAAGGGATTTGTTGGACTGATGATCCATGTTGATTCTTTTAAATTCTAGTTTGGTAAATGAGATACAAAAAACGATAGTCAAAATCTTCTTGTAACAATGTAGCTGTTGTCAAATAGCAACTTCTTTCTTCTTTCCAAGGTGTATTATAAACCTCTATAGTATTTACTATAGTGTTAAGGGCCCTAGCTATATCTAACTGCCTAGTCCTTCGGGTATATTTTCCTTTGGAATATTTGATCACAGATGTAGGACAAGAGGGCATCATCTTGATTAATCACTGACTTTGTTCTGTGATATGTGCATCTTCTCAAGGGTTTATCCATGTTGCTACTTTCATTGTCCTTAAATTGGAATGTGCTGGCACCATACTCTGGAACACTTGCTGTTCTTGGTACAGTCCTGTAAGTCAAAGCCACTTCACTATCTTTTTTCCTGACTGTTAACTAAGTTTTTTACCTATTATATTAAACATATTTTTTCACCTTGACTAACAAATCTGATTTTTCTTTAATTCAATTGAAACAGATATGTATTGTCCTTTTCACTGGGTGCTGGGCCTGTGCCAGCTCTTCTTCTTCCAGAGATATTTCCCTCCAGAATCAGAGCAAAAGCAGTTGCCATGTCGTTGGGCATGCACTGGGTAAGTATTTAACTTCTTTTGTTTTGCTTAATTTACTTGTGATTCTTGCATTAATGAGAAACCTCAATGTCAATTTAACAGATCTCCAACTTTGTCATCGGTCTGTATTTCTTGAGCGTTGTAAACAAATATGGAATCAGCAGTGTGTATTTAGGATTTGCAACTATCTGTGTTCTAGCTGTTTTGTACATAGCTGCCAATGTCGTGGAAACCAAGGGGAGATCACTGGAGGAAATAGAGCGTGCTCTGAACTCTGCAGTTTGATTAGTATCGTGGTTGGTGGTAATAGGAATCAACGAGGCTTGTGGGTACCATTTCTACGGGAGGTAAAATTTTGAATTCTCTGGTGGAGAGAAGTTCATGTCCTTGCATGGGACTTGATTAGCAGCTTCCATGTTCAGTTTTTCGAAGATCCGTGTGTTGGTAAAGTGTATGTAAAAACGGAGAAATGGTACTTGTCACTAGTAAACAGTTTTCGCATAAGATGCAGTATTTGGCCACTTGGTTCTTGATTTATCTTTTAGAATTTCAATCGAAGTAACATAAAACCTCGTTAACGCCCTAACGGGCTTGTTATCAAGTCTCGAGTCTCTTTGACCTGTTTTGTTCATTCAGGGGGTGTCATGGTAAGAGTACTGCGTAGCAGCATAGGACCCACTAGGAGATAAGAATTGACCCTGTAGGCGAGGTTCAAAGTATCGTTACGTATCGGTTGATATGAATCATTCCGGGACCCTTCTGATACAGGGGTGTATTGGGGTCCGATTAGTTTAGGGGATGGAGGGGTCTTAGACAGGCTCCCCTGGACCAGTTTTGAAAAAAATGAAAAAAAAAGTATTGAAATGCCCGATATGCCCCTACCGATATTTTGAACTGGTGTATCGGGTGTATCGATATTTTAAAGGTAAGTTTAACCGTTTAAGTTGGCCAACCCGAACTTAACGACAGTGGCTGGGTTGGCATATTTACATGCATTCCCTGTACTAATCTTGGAGGAAGATTTGACCATTGAGATCTCAATTGCCACCTCTTACAATGTGGTAGCTTTTGTCACGTCTTTTTAGATGTATTCGTTGAAAAACGTTGCACAGGAAAATAGAAATGAAAAGGGTCATGATTTCCCAGGTTATCATGGTTTCATGGCTAGAAAAAGCTTCCAACAGCATCAACCTATGGTTTAATTTTATGTTACTCGATTTTGAAATTGAAAATGTCGAAATATCCTTGAAAGTAGAGACCAACCTTGGGATGTGGCAATCATACACCCTGGGTCAAGTATCCCCCGTAGTTCACACTTCACACTGACATTGGATCGCATGCAAATCCGCTGGCCACTGGGATTTTAGGACGTTTAAGTTCTGTCATCTGTGCCAGTGCCAGGCACATCTCTATACTTCCATAGGGAGAAGGGACTGACGTGCTTGTAACTGGCAAACACTCCGATCATATCTCTATCAACCACATCCATCTTTGGCCATTTACTCCCCATCTTTTGGATCTTTCACCTGCAATGGAATACTACTCGATGCGGTTGCTGGCTGTTGTTGTACACGGATGATCCACTGTAATGACTAGCAAACCTTTCTCGGCCTTTTGGCTAAGATCAAGTATAGACTCCAGTAAACCTTCATAACGGCAACTTCTTGTATTAAAAGCAATTGCTTGACCTACAACATGATCCGCCTCAACATTGGTTGTTCTCTGAAATTTTCGCTTCTCTGTTTCGGTACAAGAGATAGAGCAGTTATTCTTCATTTTTTGCACAAGATATTACCAACAGATGGAAGTTGACATCAGCAATGAGAAATCGAGTACACAGTATGAATGAAATTCAATTAACAAAATAAAATCCAATAGCGTCAACGTAATCAACTTCTACAGTTGGTTTAGAGAATGCCCTTCAGTGCGTGAGTTTCATATCTTTGACATGCAAGAACTCTATACATTGCACAAAGTAGGCACGATGACTGACAAATGGAAGCTCACACTGTTTTCCGAAGTTGGCTAAGAAGAGAACCCGCAAAGACTGCATCAGTAACACACCAACGAGCCAATCAAAGTTTGCCATCTTCAATGTTGAATATCATACCAAGAATCCAAAAGAGTACCCAAATCTTCTCCAGTAGGATGAACACTAGTTAACTGCAAAAGTTGAGGGTTCAAGACTCACAGATAGAAGTGATCTCCATTGTTGCAATGCTGGAACTCATGCTTGTGATGGATGAGATGACCTTGTTCATCTAGGAACTAGTTTTCTTGTATGTAAAGTTCTGTTTACTCTTATCATAATTTCCAATAAAATCACAAAGGAATGCCAAGGTTTTCAGCTCTCAGTGCTTGCCGGATACATCTTTCTAAAGCCGAAAAATTTCAAGTGTCGAGTTGCACTCGTATGGTTGTATTACATGTTAGCTTTCCTTTCCCATCTTTCCTTGGTGTCAAGCCTGGCAACATAAAGCAGGAAAAAAATTAGAAGCTAATGCGATCTAGTTACCTCATGCAGTGAAACCATGAATATATAGTACAAAGGTAACATATGCAAAAAATTGAGATGATTTCCATCCATAAAGCATATATCCAATATAGGACGTGTCCTGACATATTAGTGCAAACATCCATGATTTAATGAACGCATGTAAAGATGCTACCCGTAGAAAACACAAGAATCCCTACATAAAGGAGTTGTATGAGAAATTGATACCCCCAATGCAATTTCTGGCGCTTCTTTGGTGTTGAAGATGCTTCTACTTTGCCTTTCTTGAGTGAAGAAATGTTCTTATTGCCCTCTGACATGGAAACACTGGAATCTTCAAGTGTTATTGCTATATCTTCATCTCTACTATCTTTGGAGTCAAGCTCCTGTTCATAGGCTTTTGCAGCCCCACTTGAGTGTCCTGAAACAATCTTCCACAAGGTAAATAAACCGCCAATGAATTAAAACATAATACACAATGATGGGAAAGAAGAGGCAAGAAGGAACCTTTTGAATTGTTATGAAATTTTGATCTTGCTTTTATTTGTAAACGTCTCCTATGTAGCTCCTACAAAATACAAGGCAACAGTAATAAAAACTAAGACAGTAATTCTCTAAGGAGAAAAAAATATCTAAAACAAGGGGAAGAAAAGAAAGAAAAAAAGGCCTTATGGAAGCATTTTCAGAATTCAAAACGGAAAATGTAGTATGTCTCTAGAAGTGTTTTTCCCCCAAGACATGTGCAGTGGTAGTTTTGTCATTTATTGAAGTGGTATTCAACTACTCCCATGGTTCTTTCATCTTGTAAGTTGGTGATACCTCGGACAAACAGGCCACATAGTCTCAACCAGAGGTCCTACAGTAGGTCAATGACATCACTTATCAGTAAATTACTGACTCTTTCCTTCTGAGTCTGCCTGTTTGCCAGTATTTGGAAAATAGCTAAGGATCCAGAGCACTGTACAGATGGGTTAATCATAACCAATTAGTAGTGGGTGG